CGCGGTCCAAGCCTGTGAAGGTGCAAAAAGAGGCTAAAAGTGATAAAAGTTCAAGGAAGCCCCGACATCCCCCGGTTCCCGCCGTGCTGCCGGTGTGGTAGATGGCAGCAGCAAAAGGAACCGCAGGGGAGGTGGGTGCCGGGGGGACGACATCGCTGGGTGCAGGTGAGCGCCCTTCGCTCGTCCTGCGTCTGCTTAAAACGTCGGAGTTTGCAGAGGAAGGGGAGGGAGAGGGATAAAGTGCAGAGCTGAGCAGAATGCTGGGCGCCTTTCAAAGCAAAGAAATAACCCTGTTTCCTATAAACTAGGAGGCAAATCCTTCATGAATAGCTCTTTCCTCCCCAAAGCCACCTGAGGGGCTCCCAGCAGCACACACCAGACCGACCACAGCTGGAATAAACCAGCAAGGAACAAACCAGCAAGGAATGACGCATTTGAGCCCTTATCTATAGAATAAGGATGGGCAAAGACAACTTGCCTGGCTGCCAGTTTTCTGCCCTTGCTTTCTGATGCCTGCGTGCCCTATAGTAAGGCTAAGGTGAGACAGACGCTGCGAAGGAGTCGGTAGCCATCCGGGGAGCCCATGGCGATGCTCCTGGCTGGGGCGGGACACTGCCGGTGGCCTCTGATCAGCCACGACTCCACAGCACATCCAGCCTCCACGACACAGCAGGCTGGAAGAGCTGGGGGTGCACAGCTCGGATACCATCCCGGACCACCTACTCTGCCCAGGCAGAGCTGCGCATGTGCCCAACCCACAAAAGGGAGGAAGAGGGTGAATACCTGAACACTGAGAGGAAGGGGACAGTACAGCAGCTCATCTGGAAGGAGCCAGGCTAAGAGGGCTAAAGTTAAACTTAGACTAAACCCTGCACTGCTGTGGGTTTCACAGCTCTGGGCGAGATGCTGCTGATGCCTCTTGCACGTTCCCGCGTTTGTTTTTTTTTTTTTCACATTCCTGCCAAGTCTGATCCTGAATCCAGGGCCCAAGTCCTGGCCTTGTTCTTGCAGGACTTGTTCTTACCAGGACTAGGTAAGAGCAGCACTGCCTGTTTCATGGGGAGAGAGGCTGCAGACCCCCATGGAGACAGCAGCCAAGGGCACAGCGCACGCCAAGATCAGCTCCCTCCCTCCCCATCAGCACCAAGGGCACATGGCAGCATTTTCCCCCTAGATCAGAAGAAACCCGTTCTTCTCTTGGGTTCAAATGCTGATTGCAGGATGGCAGGGGAAATACCCATCCCACAGCCCTCTACTAGGACAGGGTGTACAGGGAAGAGCCCGGCAGCCAAAGCCCTGGCTCCAGCTCAGCGTGGGCTAAGCCCAAGCCTCATGGATGCAGCAGGAGGGGAGGAAGGGCTGGCAGTTTCCCCCAGGGCCATGGGGAGGTGGGGGGCAGGCTATTCCTTGATCTAGAACCATGAAGAGCCTGCCCCATCCCAGCAGAAAAGCAGAGGTGGCCTCAAACTTGCCTTCACAAGACAAGCCCACCATCTTCGTCTTTAAACCTGGTCCATACTGAGCTCTCCCAGCCAGTGAATGAGCATGTAAGAGGATTGCTCACGTGTGAGAGAGGGGCAGCCCAGGCAAAGAGCAACCGCACCAGCCCTCCACCTCTGCTACCAGGAGCTGAGCAGCTTCAGGTCACAGCATAGAGCTCCTCACGGTCGTTCTGGCAAATCTGATAGCGACAAGTGAGCTTCTGTGACCAGGCCCAGGGCTTCTTATGCTTGTCCCGTGGAGGAAGCAGGAAAGCAACGCTGCAAGCCACCAGCACGTGCCAGATGCTGTGGGTGTAGTAATAGTTCTCATTGGTTTCCATGAATGCATATACTGAGATAGCGATGAAAGCCAAGGTGATCCCTGGGAGGAGGTAGAAAACCCAGCGCTTCCACGAGGAGGGGTAGCAGTGTCTGCGCTTCACTCCGTGGTAAACCTGGAGGTTTGAAAGCATAGGAGGGTTAAGCAGCCAAGCAGAAGCTTAGGCAGGGGAAAACGGGCAGCGCTGCCTGACCAGGAACATCTGCTAACCTCACAGCAAGAGGGTGTGCTTGCTGCCCCTGAGAAATTCAGCCCCCTCCCCCTTCTTGGGCCCATCTCTTGTGTGCAAGAGTCCCTATCCAGCTGTGACACCAAAGCCCAGCACAGATGCCATAGCTCCTGCCCAGGGCATGGGCAACAGCCGACTGCTCTGGGACAATACTTCAGCCACAGGTGTGCGCTCAACTGGAGCTGCAGCAGCTGGACTGTGCTGAGACCCGTAACTGGGGGATTTGTCAGCTACTGGAGGGATGGAAGGCAAATCCCTTGCCCTGCCCTCCCTCCACCTGGGTGTTTCAAGGAGATCAAGCTCTCCTTGTGGATGGGCTGGAGCCTGGGGTCTGCTCTGCCACCATCATTCTCTGGAAGGGAGCTCAGGGCAGCAGGTCCTGCCTGGCTGCCTGTACTTACCCACGCTGCAATCATGATGACAAGGGCAAAGAGGCAGGGACCCATCATGTTCCACACCCCTCTGCGGTCCAGCTGCAGGGACATGGCAATTAACAGGGTCCCCAAGACGAAAAGGACCTGGGAATGAGACACCACCACTATCGTCAGCAGCTCATCTGCTGCCAGAGCACAGCCAGCCATTGCAAAGGCAGGGAGAACCTCACCTCCTGGCCACCCAGCCCTGCGTGCATGCAGGACTCGGGAGCAGCACCTTCAGAAGGAGAAACCAGAGGACCCACAAACCTTTCCCACAAATCTCAGTCCCTTCAGGCCCAGTCCCTACAATCACGCAGGTTCATGATCCAAACCCCTGGGACAAAACAACCCACTGGTTTAAAAATGAGGGTGGCACTGGGCGACAAACACGCTTCGTCACCAGGCTGGGCTGTGTCATTAAAATACAGCCGTGAGAGGGCTCAGCATGGCCACCCGCAGCTTGGCTGGCTCAGGTCTGGCCCTGCCATGCGGGGTTACCTGACACTCACGTATTTCAGGATCTTCTTCACCCGGGACATGCACAGGATCGTCACCCAGATGGACACCACAGAGCCCAAAAAGTCACAGTACTGTAGTGTGTCATAGTCCATGATGCACATCACCGCGACGCCTGGCTGGTCACACGCATGGTAGAACTAGAGCCGGGGACAAAAGCAAAGGCTAGCATGAATCCAGCAGCAGCACACGGCTTTCCAGGAAGGAGAGGCAGGAGAAGGCTCGGCCCATGGTAGCTCCACCATTACAGAAAGCAGATGAGAGCAGTCATCAACTTGCACCCTCCCAGCAGCAGCCGAGAGCTCCTAACACAGCACCCTTCAAGTGCACAATGCTCCAACCCCATCTCAGCTCCCTGGGGTCCCACCCCCAAATACAAGCACCCGCAGTGTGGGTAGAAGAGTCCAGGGAAAATAACACTCCTACCAAGCTCTGAAGGGGCAGGACCTGTCCATGGAGGTGCTCATCCAATGCCCCTAGAAGCTCCCTGTGGAGCTCCAGGATGGACTGCTCCACCAAGGACTTCAGTCCCATGCAGCATACCTGATGCTGAGGGGAAGCTAGCAGTGGACCCGACAAAAGGCAATCCCTACCGTGGAGAAGAACATGGTGTAGGTGTAGACGGAGGCCTCCACCAGGTAGTAGCGATAAACAGCAACTGCTATTGCCGGCAGGAACATGAGGTTGCTCAGGGTGAGCAGGAGGGTGGCCAGGTTCTGTGCACTGACAGATTGAGCCTTGGTATCATCCGTGCAGCTCCACCCGCCCCAGCCTGTGGAGCAGAGAGGTTTGTGTGGATCTCGCATGCCCTGCCTTGTCCTCCCGCAGCACCCAGCAAGAGCCTGGGACTCCTCGGAAGAGGCAATCACACGCCAGGACCACCTCCTGGCCTTCTCTCCCTTGCTCCGTCAGCCACTCGCACTCCTGTTCTCAGGATGGTCTCGTTACTCATTGCATGCTCTGCTGTGGAAAGTCTTGGGGAACCCCAACAGAGCCCCGTGTCTGCTCTGAGGACACCCCCAGGTTATTCCGACATAGCAGGGGCCATTCTACATACAGCATAGGTGTGTCCAGGCTGGTACTTTTCATTCCCACAGTAACTCAACACACATGCTACTTGCAGGTGATACATTAAGCATTTGAGGCTCAGATGCTTCGGATGATAGTGTAAGCTGGGTGCAACATCCCTACAGATCCCAGGAACCAGGGTGGAGAATGATCCACAACATGGAGGAAGCCATTGGGCTCCTGTCTTACCTCCTGTCACAGCAGGGTAGAGTGCAAAGCCAACTGAGGTTGCCCTGGGCCTTGCCCAACTGAGTTTTGAAGATCTCCGAGGATGGAGACCTGGATACTGTACAAAGCTGAACAACTCTCACGGGGGGAGATTTGTCTTCTTCGACTTAGCTGAAAGTTTCCTTGCTGCAGCCTGTGTCTGCGGCCTCTTGCCTTTTCCCTGTGCTCCCCCAGAAGAGCCTGGCTCCAGGGTCCCTGTAACCCCTGTGGGCTGTGGAAGGTGTGGTTCAACCCCTCTCCAACTCCTCTTCTCCAGGGTGACCAAACCTACTGCCTCAGCCCAGGGTGACATCCAGGTCTGTGCAGGGCACATGGGATTGAAAACTTTCTAGAGGACAGCACACACTCTAGGCTTGACATGGGGGTCAATTCTCAGCCTGCTAATGGGATACCAAGGACTGAAGTGAGACCATCTTCTACAAACACAAACCTGCCTTTTGTTCTTTCCTTTTTTTTTTTTTTTTTTAATTGTAATTATTTTAATTCAAGATTAGGGTGCCCATGCCCTCCTTTTGGGGAAAGGAGGTCAGTCACAGAGCAGCCTGGGTACGTGCAGGCACTCTATGGTCAACAAGCAGAGTAGCATCCATCCCATTGCAGTGCCACTAGAAACCAAGCCAGCAGCTCTGCCCCTTCTGCTGGCTCCCCGCCAGGCAGAGCCCAGAGAGGCTGCTCTCTCCAGTTTATTTCTGGGTCACGAATATGCAGATGGGGCATTTTGCTCCAAGTGATTCAGCAGAAAGCTGTCCTCAGCCTGATTCCCCAGTTCCCCTGGGGTGCTCTGTGCTTCCCAGAACCTGGCACCCCTCGGGGAAATTAGGATGCTGTTTTCCATCTCGCTCCTTGCCCAGCATCAGCACTGCAGCAGACAGCAGGGACGTCCTGGCTCAGGCCCAAAGCAGCACTGAACCACATTTTGCCTTGTCCTTCTGCTGAGAACAGGTACACTTACTCACCCAAGCACAGCAGAGCTATCATCTTCCCTA